TTTTTTTTTTTTTTTTTTTTTTGCAGTTTTTGGCTGGGGCCAGATTTGAACCCACCAAGAGTTCAAGAACCCACCAGGAGTTCAAGAAGTGGGGCCAGAGCCCTACTTCTCTGAGCCACAGGCACCGCCCCAAGGCCATCTTCTTAACCCCCACTTTAAAGAGAAGGAAAGTGAGGATAAGGAAAGCAAAGTTTCTTGTCCATGGCCATAAAGCAGTAAGGGATGGGGCTGGGGCTTCAATGCAGGATCCCACAGCTCCAGCACATAGGGTCTCTTCAGGCCCAGGTCTCCCTGAGATGCACACTGCTGAGTAATCAAAGAGGCCCTCGTGAACAGAAGGGACATCACCTCCTTAGAAGCCAGCCACCTGTCTTAGGTGTCCCCACATGTGACCTGGGGCCAGAAAGGACTTCATGAGCAAGTACAGAACTCACCAGATCTCCAAATAGCATGAGATTAAAGTCCAGGAGAAAAGAACATCATCGGAGGTAGGGAGGCCCCGGAACTCACCTGGGTGCACTGAGGTTCCCAGAGGACACTGCTCAGCATGTACCCACCTCCTTTACAAGCAAGGAAACAGGCTACAGGGAGGAAGTGCACTCCAGGGAGGCAGAGCTAAGCAACAGCCAGATAGAGACTCAAAAACAAAAATAGTATAATACCAATAACAAAAGCAATAATTGTGCTAATGATACACTATGGGTGCCCCAGATCATGCCAAGTAATTCATGCATTATCTCATCTGAGCTCCACATCAGCCCTGTGAAGTAGATGTTGTCATCATCTCCATTTTACAGATGAGGAAGCTGATGCCAGAGGCCAGTCCAGGATCACACAAGAATGTGTGCAGATCTAGGACTTGAACCCAGGTAGTCTGGCTCTAGAATTATCTTTCTACCACCTCCTATTTACCTCTACAACTATTAGTTACTGAGCACACTACTATGTGGTGGGCCCTATGCACAATCTCACTCTATCCTTACGACAGAGCTCAAGAAATAGCAATCAAGATGCCATTTTGGTGGGGTGGCTCACACCTGTGATCTTAGCGCTTTGGGAGGTTGAGTTAGAAGGATTTCTTGAGGCCAGGAGTTCAAGACAGCCTGAGCAATACAGCATTTATCTTTTTAAAAAATATATTTCTAATTAGCCGCACACAGTGGTTCATGCCTGTAATCCCAGTGTTTTGGGAGACTGAGGTAGGAGGATCACTTGAGCCCAGGAGTTCGAGGTTGCAGTGAACCATGATGACACCACTGCATCCAGTCTAGACAAGAGAGTAAGACTCTGACTCTTTAAAAAAAAAAAAAAAATCTGGTTTTCTAGATGAAGAAACTAAAGCACAGAGAAATTAAGTAAATGTCTGAAAGAGGATAACAGGACACACAGTGCCAGAATTCAAACCCAGGATTTCAACACCAGTGTATGTCCTTGTAACCACTCCCGGCTGGGCAGTGGGGGCTACCTCTCCCTATTGGGCTAGAAACCCAGGAGGACAGAAGGCTTCTCCAGCAGAGCCATCAAACACTCTCCACATTGAAGAACCACAGCACAGCTAATCAGGCAACGCTAGATTCTCGGAGAGTTACCTGCTGGCCCTCGAGCCCCTCATCCCCTTGCCCCAACCCTCCACGCAGCCACATTCACAAAGGTGCCCAACAACCAGCACCATCTTCCAGTTCTTCTCCAGCCATTTGGCATCACTCACCACAAAGGGCCCACTCCTCTTGTCCTTAGAGAAGCTGTGGCTTCTTCGGGGACCCAAGGCCGCAGGGCTCATGTGCCAGGGTGGGTGCTCACTGTCCTGGATGACATTCTCCTTCTCCAGGTCCCGAGGCAGCACCTGGGACACAGGACACAAGAAAAGAACTTCACTGGGGGCTTTCTCACTTACAGAAAAATTACATCACACTGAGAAAGCCCCTTCTGTACCAAAAGGGCAAAGAAGAAAATTAAACTGCCAGAGAACCCCCAACCTTAATGATCGGAGGAAACATGTAGGGGCAGCAGCTCTGGGTTCAAGTGGCCCAGCTTCTGCTACTAATAACTGTGTGACCTCAGGTGAGAGCTTTAACCTCTCTGAGCCTCAATCATCTGAAAAGGAACAATAATAAGTACCCAGCTTGGAGGGTTGGTGGGAGACCACATAAGAGTCACAGACAGTGAGTGACACAATATAGCCACCAGGGGGCAGACGTGCACAAGTCCTGGGGGTCTGGCTCTGCTCACCCTGACCTGGCCAACTCTGGAATGTGGGGAGTCCTTCATAAACTCCAGTCAGCCTCATTCTGCCAGTGGTAATGCTCCTTTAACTTTATTTTAATCATCTTTCCATTCATCCAAACACACATGCATACATACAAAGATACACAGATATAGCACTGAGGAACAGGACAGTACCCCTCATACATCTAGTCTGAATCTTGATTTTTTTTTTAAACTCAGCTACATATAGGGAAAATATTCACAGGCCAATACCTATGGCCTCACACTCTCCCTGCACAGACAAGGAAAGGAAGGCCCAGAGAGGGTGAGCCACTAGTTAAAAACACACAGCATCAGGAAGATGGAGGCTGCTCTCTTGATCCCTTCCTCACGGCCTGTGTCTGGATACTTAGCCTATTAGGACCCTCTGGTTTTCCTCCTATGCTCCTGGTTGTTCCTTATCAGCCTCCCAGATGTTCCAGGCCAGCCAGAAAGCTTTTTCTTCTGCAGCTACATCATTCCTGCTGGGATCTCTCTTCACAGACCCCATGGCTTTAAATAAATCCTACCTGTCTCTCTTCAAACCCCCTTTCAGATTCTCAGTGTTAAGACCTAGGGGAGTGAGACTCCAGGCCCTGCCATTCACTCTACATCTCCACTCGGCGGCTCACACTTATTTCAGATCCAAGTGCACAAACTAGGCTTTTGGTTCTTCTTCTCCCAAATTACTCCTCTGATGACTTGCCCATCCCCCAGGTGGGCAGGCCAAGCCCCTGGGTCACCCTCCATTCTCCCCAGTCTCTCCACCACATCAGCAAAGCTAGACTCTCCCTTCAAAACATGCTATAAGACAGGGTATAGTGGCTCAGGCCTGTAATCCTAGCACTTTGGGAGTCCAGGGCGGGAGGACTGCTTGAATGCAGGAGTTCAAGACCACCCTGAGTAAAAGTGAAACCCTAAGTCTTCAAAAAAATACAAAAATATTAGCCAGGCATGGTGGCACACACCTGTAGTCCCAGCTACTAAGGAGGCTGAGGCAGAAGGATGAGTTAAGCCCAGGAATTCAAGGTTGCCATGAGCTATGATGACACCACTGCACTCTAGCCCAGGCAACAGAGCAAGACTCTGTCTTAAAAAAAAAAAAAAAAAGGCTGCAAACCTCATACCATACACCAAAATAAACTCCAAATGGATCAAAGATCTAAATATAATAGTTAAAACTAGAAAATTCTTAGAAGAAAATATAGGCATAAATCTTCCTAATCTCAGATTAGGAAATGATTTCTTAGGTATGACATCAAAGACATAAGCAATAAAAGAAAAATGGATAAAATTAACTTCAAAACTAAAAACTTACACTTTAAAGGGTACCTATACAAGAAAGTGAAAAGATAACTCTCCAGGGCCAGGCAGTGACTCACATCCCAGCACTCTGAGAGGCTGAGGCAGGTGACTGCCTGAGCTCAGGAATTCAAGACCCGCCTGAGCAAGAGCAAAAGCCCATCTCTAAAAATAGCCAGGCATTGTGGCTATCACCTGTAGCCCCAGCTACTTGGGAGGCTGAGTCAAGAGGATCACTTGAGCCCAAGAATTTGAGGTTGCTGTGAGCCATGATGCCCTGGCACTCTACCCAGGGCAACAAAGTGAGACTCTGTCTCAAAAAAAAAAAAAGAAAAAAAAGGACAATCCTCAACAGGAGAAAATTTCTGCAAATTATATGTCTGATGTGGCACTTGTATCCAGAATATATAAAGAATAATGATGACTGCAATAATAAAAGGACCCAGTTAAAAATGGACAAAAGATCTGAATAGAAATTATTCAAAAAATACATGCAAATGGTCAATAAGCATGTGAAAAGACTTTCGACATGTAAATTAAAACCAGAATAAGGTACCACTTCACACCTAGTCCACCAGGATGGCTATAATAAAAAACACAGGACGAGGACACTTGCTGGTCAGGGTGCAGAGGAGCTGGAAACCCATGCACTACTGGCAGGGCTGTGCAATGGTGTGGCTGCTTTGGAAGATCACCTGACAGTCCCTCAGAAGTGAAACCTAGAGTTACCATATGACCCAGCAATTCCACTTCTAGGTGTACATACAAAGAAATGAAAACACACATCTACCCCAAATTTATACACCGATGTTCACAGCAGCATAGTCAAAGCACACAGCACAATACTCAAAAGTGGAAACAACCTAAATGTCCACCAACAGAAGAATGGAAGGTCAAAATGTCCCACCCAGACAATGGAGTAGAATTCAGCCATGAAAAAGAATGACGTTCTGATCCTTGCTCCTGCAAGGATGAACCTTGAAAACATTATATAGCATTATAGGAAAGGGGCCAGCCACAAAGGCCTACATAGCACATGATTTCATCTATGTGAAATGTGCAAAATAGGTAAATCCACAGAGACAGAAAAAAAAATGAATGGGTGCCCAGGAAAGGAGTATAAGGGTGGATGCGGAGTGACAGCCTAATGAATGGGGAAGGAGTTTCCTAGGGGTGATAAAGGTGGTCTAATACTGACAGAGCAGATGATTGCACAACTCTCTGAATATACTAAAAGCCACCGAAATGTACATTTTAAATGGGTGACTTATATGGGAATGAATCATATCTTAATAAAGCTGATACCAAAAATAAAATGCTACCAGTCTGCCATTTCTCTCCACCTCTTAGGTCACCATCGTGGTGCAAATCCTGTCACCTCACTGAAGGTGATGGCAACCTCTGTGCTGGCCTCCCTGCCTCCACTCTCACCCCCTCATTTCACACTCAGAAGATAGCCAACAGGGGGTCATTCTCTGAGACACAGGTAATGGCTGTGGTGGTCAGACCCCTATAGGGACTCCCAGGTGCCCTCTGCCTTTCCTCATGCTCAGTTCCTTCCCATCTCTCAGTCTCAGCAGGGGCCTGGAACCTGTATCCCAGGGGCCCTGAGCATCCAGGGGAACAAGCTAATCCTTATATCGGGACATCTTCACTTGCTGCTCCTGCCACCTCCCTGCAGATCTCAGCCTGGCTGGTTCCTATCTGTCATTCAGAAGACGCCTTTCTAGTCCCTCCCCATGAGACCCCTTCCCTGACCTCCTTTCACCCTCTCTCTCTGCCCAGGACCCACTACTCTCTTCATGAACAATCTCACCCACTCACTGGCTGGAGGCCTCCCTGTCCACCTGCCAGACCAGTGACATCCACTAGAAAGTTCTGCGATCAGTGGAGATATTCTGCACCTGCATATTCCACACAGTCCACAGGAGCCACATGTGTTTTCAGAGTGCTTGAATATAGCCAGGGTGACTGAAGAACTGAAATTTGTAATCGTATTTAATTTTAACTAATTTAAATTTAAATAAGCACAGGTGGCTAGTAGCCACCACATAGCCTGAGATAGTGGTGGGCTGGGCCATGGCTAAGTCATTCCTGGCAGCCCCGGCACCTAGAACAAGGCCTGGCACAGGTTCAGTACATATATTAAATGCATTAAATAAACAAAGGGGTAGAAGTTAACCCAAAGTACTTCCTTCTGATTTCTTTATTGCATGAGCCCCTGGGTCAGGGGCTTGAGCACACAATTGTATTGTGATAAGTCTCCGACAAGTCTGTGAAACAGGCAGGAGCCCCACCCACAGATGCAGAAGCTGAGGCTCAAGAGAGGTCTGTTGAGACGCCCAGAATCACACAGGAAGGGTTGAATTCCAGGTCTGCCTGATCCAAAGTCCAGGGCTGTTTCCAGGGAAAAATCAAATCATACATCTACAAAGGGTTCATCTCCTAATAAAGAATTCTAAAAAATCAATGAAAAAAGGACCAAGGTTCTAAAAGGAAACAGGCAGAACATAAGCATGTGGGTTACAGGAAAGAAATGCAAATAGCCTCATATACCTAACAAGATGCTTCCTCACTCAGAACAGGAGTGAGTAAACTCGCCCACACAGAGAGTGATGGGGCCGTTGGGGGGGGGGGGGACAGGTAGCATCCAGACATCTGATGCAAGGGGGAAGGTTGAGGGCAAAGTGCCCTGGAGCACACTGCTGGTGAGGACGTGAACAGTACAGCCCCACTGCAGGGCACAACACCCTGATCCTGCAGAAATCACAGCCACATTCACCCTTAGATAGGCAATCACCATTTTGAACCCACAGATGCACCTGCAGGTGTGTGTGCCAAGGTGATGCATGTACCTGGTTTATAATAGCAAAAGATCAAAAACATCACCCACAGGGGAAGGTTAAATAACTTATGCTACATCCATACAGCAGGCAAAAATCCAAAAACTTTCTAAGATCCATTTTATGAAAAACAGACAGGTAGAAAATCTTTGGTTTCAGCAGAGATCCTCTGAAAACAGGAAGCTTCTCCTAGGAAGCTTTCCAAACTAACAAAGCCAGGCCCCCACCTCAGACAACTGCTCAGCTTTGGACATTCAGTATTGAATCATTTAATGGTTACAGTATTATAGGATACAGAGGAGGATCCTTGGCTTCTACCCCAAGATGCTGGCAGCAACCTGTACCTATGGTGTGACAACAAAAAATGTCTCCAGACACTGCCAAATGTGCCCTAGGGGCAAAATCGACCATAGTTAAGAACCATTAATGGGCCCAGAAGAGTATTCCCCAAGCTGTGCACCAGACTCATCCTTTGGAGGAGATCTGCTTTCTAAACTATAAGCTTCTATCATACTTTAAATATTACATAAGCATTCACTACTTTTGCCATAGAAAAATATGGCCATTATATGGTGGGACCACATGTGAAATTTACAAGAAAATGCAGTGAAGGCTATGTTAACCAGTTTGATGAAAATATTTCAAATTGTATATAAAACCAGCACACTGTACCCCATGATGGCATTACTTTGCACAGCTATGATTTAATTTAAAAAATGGCCATTATAAATACATATTATTGATAAGCAACTACTGAATATAAGAAAGGCCCAAAGGACATCAAAAAGAGCAAGAGAGGCTGGAAGTGGGGGAACACTGACCTTTTATTTTCTATACCCCTATAAGACTTGAATTTTTAACAATCAACATTTTGTACTTCTGTATTGGTGGTTTAGTTAGGGTTTTGTTTTTCTTTTTTAGGCTCAAAACCCAAAGATCTTTGGGCAAGAGAGAAAGAGAAATGGGAAGCTGGTCCAAGCCCTTCCAATTCCTTGGTGAGAAAACAGATCCCCTGGCAACCAGCACTCCTGGGGCCTGTGTGCTCCGGGCAGGCATCCAAGGACAAGCAGGGGGACAGGCCGAGCCCTGGCAGCCCCTCCACAACACCCTGACTCCCCCATTGCCAGCCGGTCCTTAGCAAGGTGCTGGCAAAAAGATGCAGCGTCTCATTTCCACAGCCTCCTCCCTCAGCCCCATTCACACAGTAATAGGCTGGAGGTGGGGGCAGGTGAAAACCTCTCCAGAAAGCGCATGCGGTGGCCCTTACTGGGTGTTTCTTCAGTGCTTCGAGGCTCACAGAAGCCAAGGGACTGCTTCACACACTGTGGGCAAGTGGCAGAGTAGAGATTCAGACACCAAGTCTGCAGGGGTCTGAATGTGCTTGTTACGGAGCCTGATTTCTCACAGAGTCTGAACTGTGCTTGTTACAGACACAGTTTCAAAGCTGAACTTTACCACTTACTTGCTTTTAACTCTAGGTGAACCCTCATTTCATGATCTTGACCAACAACATCCTATTGTTTATTTCCAAAGCATCCCTTTCCAGACTGGACCTCTCTGCTCTCTTTGACAGATGGGGAAACTCAGGCCAAGGGAGGCTGAAGGGCTTGCCTTTAGTCACTCAGTCTGTAAGAGGCAGAGGTGGCATTTGGGCCCTGGTTTGCGGATGCCACACCACACAGGGGTGGGAGGTTGGGGGGCGGGGGTGCTAAGGTAGTTCACACTTGACCTCCAGAACATGCCACGTTTCTTCCCATCTCCAAGGCTTTGTGCATCCTGTGCCCCTGCTCTGAAAGCCTTCGACTCCCCTCATCCCATCCAAATTACATGCATCCCTCGAGGCTGGGCTCAAGCCAGCTTCTCCCCCAAGACACCTTCCTGGGCCTCTTCTCTAGTGCCTCACTCTGCATCCTATCATTTCCTGGCCTGGCTCACAGTGTCCCATCTCCTAACAGAGATCAAACGATTCCTTCCTTTGTGGTTTCTACTAGAGTGGACTACTAGAAAATGACCCACTACCTCTTGGGAGTTAGACCAGATCTGGGTTCAGATATTAGCTTTGCCACTTGCTGCTGTGTGCCCTGCGACAAGTCACCTAACTTCTTTGAGCCTCCACTTTTATCCATCTGCACAGGAAGATGACTGTATCTGCAGCATTGTCAGTCTCAAATACACGCCAGTGGCAAAGGTATCCTACTGTGTGAGGGTTTTCTTTCAACCATTTAACAAGGTGCCAGCCAGGATGGAAGAGTCTGAATGTGCATAACCCCAGAACCAGAGCCCAGCAAGGACAAAAGGAACTGGGAAATGCATACTCCTGTTCCCTTGCTCCTTGGATAGGACAACTCCACAGATGTTCAATGCTGCCTCCCAGGAGTCCCCATATCACCTGCCTCCCTGCTCTACTGCCCTGCTAGTTCTTCCTGGAATCACCCTTTAAAAAAACTACCTACAAAGATCTGTTTCTGTGGGAACTAAACCACGGCAAGCCCTCTTCTGAGACTCATATAAGACCACCTATTCATTCACTCAACAACTATTTCTTGAACGTTCCCAAGATGTCAAGGATGAAGCTGAATGCTGGGAACATAATAATGCACACTATACAACAGAATGGTATACAGAAGGAGCTCAATAAAGCTATCATTGACACCTGTCATTAGCATCATTCTAGGCCAGAGGTGTGAAACTGGTGGCCCACAGGGCTGTATGCAGCAGCAGACATCTTCTTTGGCCTGCATATTACACATAAAAGTCTGGATTTTAAGATTTTATAATAAATGAGGTCTCCCATCTCAGGGCCATTGTTCTCAGGTGTCAAGAGCCAGAGGGAACCAACAGGCAGTTGCCCCCTTCACCAAGGGCATGAGTTCTCCATTGGCCAGAACCGCACAACTCCCTAGAGTCTCCCACCCCACTCACACATGTACCCATTTGGCCCACATAAGATCTGAGCTTGAGACCCCTGGCCTAGATGTTTACTCAGTGTAAAAATTTTACTCAAAATTCAAAGAGCCTTCTCACTCACCTTGTGACCATCTGGAGTCCCCGACTCCCACCAGGAGGACCCCAGTTTGGCCTTTGAACTCTCCCCTGGGAGGCTGTGTCTCTCTTTGGGCTGCTCTCTCCTCCTCTCTCTGGCTTCATGCATGATGGACAGACCATCTCGAATCATGGCAGGGGGCCCCTTCTCTGAACAGGCCCTCTTGACATCCATGGGTGACCTGCCACAGTCACGTGGGTGGTCTCCCCACTGGGCCGCAATGCCCTCCTCTCCCCACTCGGAGGATTTCCTCAGGCTCCCTTTCTTCCAGTCAGCAGTGGGTGATTTGGGTGACAGTCTGACCCTCCCTCCCAGATCCTCCCGACCAAAGGGCTTCTTCAATTCAGCTGGGTCATTTGTACACTTTGCACTGTGATGTTTACTGGCAAAGACGTTTTTGTCTTCCTCTGTAATTCCCAAGCCTTTTTTCTTGGAGACTGCAGGAACAGAAGAGGCCCCTGGATACCTCTCAGAAGGAGCCCCGTGTGGCAGAGCCCACAAAGGAGAGCTGGATTTGGTATTCGGGACTGCCCCCAGGGTCTCTGCCGGCTGCCTGTCTGAACCAGGAGGAAAGCTGTGCTTTAATTCCGGAGTGGCTTGTTTCCAGAGACCCTCTGCTTCGGAGATGTCCTTCAGGCTCCTCCTCCTCTGTGCCACCCCACCTGGCTGGCCTGGACTCTCCCAAGGCGAGCTGCTGGGCCCTGAAGTCTGGCTCTCCTTCCGCTCCTGAGCCTTGCAGGGGACTTTGTTGGACAGCTCCTGGTACTCAGCCATCAGTGCATCAATGTCCAGCACGCTCAATCTGTAGCCATCTTTGATCTTGCCTGGGAACGTCTCACTGATCACCTCCGTCCTCCTTCTCAGGAGATCTTTTGGATGACTCTTCAAAGTTGGGGTAGTTTTAGGAGCAGTGTTGCTGGGGAACATCCTGGTCCCGGTATCCTTCCAATTGTTCTGAAAACCAGTGCCATCTTCAGATTCTGGATGACGCCATAAAGCATCCACATTGATCACTTTTTCCCTAGAAGGTTCGAGAATCTTGTCCTCAATAGATGATGGACGCTCTTCTGGCTTCAGATTTTTTGAAACACTTATGTTTTCACGCACTCTTCCCTTAGTCCAGTTTTTACTGCCCACTGTCTCCAGTGGCTCTTCATGGTTAACAGAAACCAAAGTTGGTGTGAAAGAATGAGGAGAGGAAGGTGGAGTGATTTTTCTAGAATGTTCCAGCAAGTTGTCAAGTCCTGACATAACAACACCCTTTGCCTTTTGAATATCAGGAATCTGATAGGTTACTGCAAAAAATGTTGCCTTGGGTTCCACAGGTGACCGTTGCTTTACCACTGAGAAAGTCTGGTCCTGTGAAGCACCTGGGTTCACCTCCTGGGTCTCCACCCTTTTGGGGGATAGTAGAGGTTTTTTTAAGGCACCAGCTGTGTGAGTCAAATTATCAGACTGTCTCTCCTCCACCTTCGATGAGTTCTTTGGGGTGAGGAAACTAAATGCATCAAATTTCACATCATGGGGTAGAGTCCGCCGTCTCCATCTGTCCATTCTCTGGTCCATCAAACCGGCTTTCCGCATTTTGACTTCAGGCTCTGGCATCTGGACCAGCCTTTGGTCACCCTCACTGGCAGGTGCAGCAAGGGTCCCTTTCTGCATAGGAGACACATCTGGATGTGTTTGTGCTTGGAATTCAGAGGGCTCAACCTTAGCCCTGGAAGGAGGATCCAGGGAGCACTCCTGGGGGGTACCCCTTGCTTCTACTCCTGGCTTGTGTCCATTCCCTTCCGGTCCCTCATGCTGGGTCTCCCACACAGGAGCCTTGACAGCCCTCAGGGAAGTGGTCCCAGGAGAACGGGGCTCTTCGCTCACCACTGTGGTGGCTTTATGCCAGCTCCCTACCACCCTACCTGTCCATCTGGGTGACAGGCAATTGCCCCCAATCATATCCTTTGACTCTCGAAAATCAAGCTTTGGCCCACTAGACTCATGCATCCCTCGAGCTTCCCAAATCAAACTGGCCCTTTGGACAGACCCCAACTGACTCTCTGTACCAGACTCCAGATCAGCCAGTGTGACTTCCTGGGACAGGTGCCTCCCCTTCAGTGAGGACCGAGACTTGCTGCTCCGGAGGGTCACCGCTTTCTCCTCTGGTGCTGTTGAGATGGCCTCGCTGTGGGCACGTTCCCCCACTGTGTGCATAATGTCATACTTGGGCTCGATCCTCTGGGATGTGGGAGGATTTTCTGAGTGCTTTATGAAAGGGTTCTTGTTGTGTTTTTCACCCAAAGGGTATTTTTCCTGGAGAGGTGTGTGATACCTTCTTGACTCACCTTCTCCATTCAAAAGAGCAGTTTGTCCCGATTTCTCTGTCTTAAGATTGTCAAAGCTCCTGGGGTTGTCTTTCTTGAGGTTTGTTGTTTCCAGTGAGTCCTTCCCCAGCCAAGAGCCTTTCTCTAGCCTGGGCCTAGGTTCTGGGACACGTGTATGGGGCACATTGCTGGGGGGCATGGCTAAGAGACAGCGTCTCGTGGGGTCAGACACAGTGTGTTTCTCCACGTGATGCTCAAACATCGTGGCCCACACGGTCTGGAAGCTTCCCTCATCTTCTGGAGTGACGTCAGGAGTTCCTGCTGCACCCTCACCCCAACAGTTGTCAGGGACTTGGTTAGAACTGTCTTTCTGCTCCGTCTGCCTGGACTTTTCCCGGAGTGTCCCTGGCTTCCAGGGGCTTCTTGAAGCAGATGTTTCTACCAGACCAGGCCCATCCTTTGGCTAGAAAAGAGAAAAATAGAAAAAGAAACAACTCAACAGTAAAGAATTGAAAAATGAAGATTGAAATGGGTGCTTATATAATTAAAACAATGAAATACCATAAAATTTTAGAGTGAACATACCAGTGTGGGTAAGGACATGGGGCTACAGACACTCAGATGCTGTTGGAAAGAACACAAATTGGCAAGACTTTGGGGCAGTGTGGAATACCTATCATGATTTTAAAATACTCATTTCCTTTTACTCAGCCAAGTTCCTCTCAGAACTCTTTATTTGCCTATGTGCACGAGTCTATGTGACCAAAAGAAAGTTCTGGCAGTGTTGTTTGTGAAAGCAAAAGAACACAGCAACAACCTGAAGGCTCATAAAAAGGGCGTTGACTAAATTAATTTTGATATATCCAAACAATGGACTATTGCACAGGCATTTGTATCCATAGGAGGAGGTGAATCCTAATGTCAGAATATCTAAGGACACTTACAGAATATTTTTGTCTTGGGTAGAAGAAAGCAGACTACAGAACAGTATATGATAATATAACACTATTTTTAAAAATTGTACATGTAAGTAGGTACACACATACACAGTCTAAAGAAATGGCACAAATCAAACTGTGAGCAAGGGAATTGGGATGTGAGGCTGGAAGGATGGAATAGAGATAGAAACATCTTCCTTGAATCTCACACATTTCAGTTCTATTTGATCTTTATGATACGCAGATATTACTTAATAACTTAAAAACATTTTTTTTCCTGTTGGTAATAAATCTGCTTTGACAAGTTAAACATAAGACCCACCAATTCAACTGCAAGGCATACACTTAAAAGAACTAAAAACCAGGTTCAAACAACAACTTGTACATAACAGTATTATTCACGATCATCAGTTGGTATAGATAACCCAAGTGTCCAATGATGGATGCACAGATAAACATAATGCGATACACAGCCATGCCATGGAATACAATTCAGCCATCAAAAGGAATAATGCACTGATTCATGCTGTAACATGGATGAACTTTGAGAACATTATGCTGAGTTAAAGAACCCAGTCACAAAGGCTATGTGTTGCTTGGCTCTATCTATATGGAAGCTCTAGAATGGGTGAACCCAAAGTGATAGGAAGTAAATTAGTGAAGGGAGGAGCAAGATGGCGGCCAAGTAACAGCTTCCTTGTAACTGGGCATGGTGAGAATGGGGAGAGAAGACTCCAGGCATAACTGGCTGGTGGGTTCTGTCCAGAAACATCTCTTTGGGGACACAGGGAGTCAGGGAGGGACTTCTGAACCCCATGAGGAGGACAAAAGCAGTAGAGAACTGGCAAGTGGGTACATGTGTTTGTTCAGTCTAATCCTGCCAGCAGCTGACTCATCGAAATCCTAGGCCAAAGGCATGGCAACTTAAAGAGCAAGAGGAAGTAAAAGGAAAATCAGGGCAAGGAAACAGATAAAAGGAAACACTGATGAGGAAGAATCAGCAGAAAAATACTCGCAACATGAAAAACCAGTCCAGAACAACCCCCCAAAAGGGACCATGAGGTACCAACTACAGAGGATTTCACCTATAAAGAAATGTTAGAAATGACAGAAAGGGAATTTAGAATACAGATGATGAAAACAATGAAGGAAATGATGGAAACAATGAAGGAAACTGCTGATAAAGTGGAAAATAACCAAAAGGAAATCCAAAAACACAATCAAATAAGAGATGAATGATATGAGGAATATAGAAAGGATATAGCAGAGCGGAAGGAACTAAAGAAGTCAGTTAGGAAACTTAAAGATGCAACAAAAAGTATCAACAACAGATTAGACCATGCAGAAGAAAGAATCTCAGAGGTAGAGGACAAAGCTCTTGAGATTAACTCAGATAGTTAAAGAGACAGAAAAGATGAGAGAGAAAGCAGAACATTCACTGACAGAATAATGAGACTTTATGAAGCATTCAAGCATACGAGTTATAGGTATCCCAGAAGGGGAAGAAGAACGCTCCAGGGGAATGGAAGCCATACTAGAGAATATATAAATGAAAATTTCCAAATATCACCAAAGATTCTGACACACTCTCTTCAGAGGGATATCGGACCCCAGGTCACCTCACCTCTAACACAGCTTCTCCAAGACACATTGTGATGAACCTGTCCAAAGTCAAGACAAAAGAAAAGATTCTTCAAGCTGCCAGAAGTAAGTGCCAGTTGACCTACAGGGACAAATCCATCAGGGTGACTGCAGACTTCTCTAATGAAACTTTTCAAGCCAGAAGACAATGGTCATCTACTCTTAATCTACTTAAACAGAAGAATTTCCAGCCCAGAATTCTATATCCTGCTAAGCTTAGCTTCAAAATTGACAGAGAAATCAAATCATTTACTGATATGCAAACATTGAGGAAATTTGCCACAACAAGACCAGCTCTACAGGAAATACTTCAACCTGTTCTACACATTGACCATCACAATGGACCAACAGCAAAGTAAGAACTCAGAAATTAAAGGACAGGGCTCGGTGCCTGTGGCTCAAGTGGCTAAGGTGCCAGCCACATACACCTAAGGTGGCAGGTTCGAATCCAGCCCGGGCCCGGCAAACAACAATGATGGCTACAACCAAAAAATATCTGGGCGTTGTGGCGGGTGCCTGCCTGTGGTCCCAGCTACTTGGGAGGCTGAGGCAAGAGACTCGCTTGAGCTCAGGAGTTGAAGGTTGCTGTGGGCTATGATGCCACAGCACTCTACCCAGGGTGACAGCTTGAGGCTCTGTCTCAAAAAAAAAAAAAAGAAAGAAATTAAAGGACAGAACCAAACTTCCACACTGAAACAAAAGATACAACTAAGCAATGGACTCTCACAAAATAAGATGAATAAAACACTACCACACTTATCAATTATCTCAATAAATGTTAATGGCTTGAATTCCCCACTGAAGAGGCATAGATTGGCTGATTGGATTGAAAAACAGAAGCCATCCATTTGCTGTATGCAGGAAACACACCTAGCTTCAAAAGACAAATTAAAACTCCAAGTTAAGGGTTGGAAGACAATTTTACAGGCAAATGGAATTCAGAAGAAAAGAGGAGCTGCAATCTTATTTTCAGATACATGTGGATTTAAAGCAACTAAAGTCAAAAAAGACAAAGACGGTCACTTTACATCGGTCAATGGAAAAAGAAAACAAGAAGACGTTTCGATTCTAAATATTTATGCACCCAACTTAAATGCACCCAGATTCTCGAAACAAACCTTACTCACTCTGAACAATATGATATCCTATAACACCATAATAACAAGGGACTTTAATACTTCCTCTCACAGAGTTGGACAGATCCTCCAAACAGAAATTAAACAAAGATATCAGGGACTTAAATAAGACCCTAGAACAACTGTGCTTGATAGACACATATAGAACACTCCATCCTAAAGATAAAGTATATACATTCTTCTCATTACCCCATGGAACATTCTCATATCCTAGGAAAGGATATTGGAAAATTGATCATATCCTAGGACACAAAACAAACCTCAACAGAATCAAAAGAATTGAAATTTTACCTTGTATCTTCTCAGACCACAAGGCACTAAAGGTGGAACTCAACTCCAACAAAAATGTTCAACCCACACAAAGGCATGGAAATTAAACAACCCTCTGTTGAATGACAGTTGGGTGCAGGAAGAAGTAAAAGAGGAAATCATTGACTTCCTTGAGCATAACAACAATGAAGACACAAGCTACCAAAACCTATGGGATACAGCAAAAGCAGTCCTGAGAGGAAAATTTATTGCTTTAGATGCCTATATCCAAAAAACAGAAAGAGAGTTCATCAACAAACTCACAAGCCATCTTATGGAATTGGAAAAAGAAGAACAATCTAAGCCTAAACCCAGCAGAAGAAAAGAAATACCCAAAATTAAATCAGAGATCAATGAAATTGAAAACAAAAGAATCATTCAGAAAATTAATGAAACAAGGAGTTGCTTTTGAAAAAATAAATAAAATATGTAAACTTTTGGCCAGACTAACTAGAAATAGAAAAGTAAAATCTCTAGGAACCTCAATTAGAAGTGATAAAGGGGAAATAACAACTGATGCCACAGAGATCCAAGAGATCATCTCTGAATACTACTAGAAACTCTATGCCCAGAAATTTGACATTGTGAAGTAAATGGATCAATATTTGAATCATACCCTCTCCCTAGACTTAGCCAGGAGGAAAAAGAACTCAACAGACTAATTTCAAGCACTGAGATCAAAGAAACAATAAAAAAAACTTCCAACAAAAAAATGTCCTGGTCCAGATGGCTTCACACCAGAATTCTATCAAACCTTCAAAGAAGAGCTTATTCCCATACTACAAAAATTATTCCAAAACATAGAGGAGGAAGGAATCTTCCCCAACACGTTCTACGAAGCAAACACCACCCTGATACCAAAACCAGGAAAAGACTCAGCTAAAAAGGAGAATTTCAGACAAATTTCACTAATGAATATAGATGCAAAAATTCTCAACAAAATCCTAGCCAAAAGATTACAGCTTATCATCAGAAAAATCACACATCATGATCAAATAGGTTTCATCCCAGGGATGCAAGGCTGGTTTAACATGTGCAGGTCCGGCTCGGCGCCTGTGGCTCAAGTGGCTAAGGCACCAGCCACATACACCTAAGGTGGCGGGTTTGAATCCAGCACGG